TGGGATGGGTGTCCTACTAATGTATGGAAAGATATATGTAATCCTGCCCCTTTTTGCACTCCCATGTTTATGTGTAAGCAACATCGATCGACTGTATGATTTTGTGTTAAGCCTGTAGAAGTTGTCTCCCCGTCGAGTCCCGAATAAACCTGGGTCAGGATAGATGCATGCATAGCAGGTAGGTTATAATCTGTATACATGCCTAGGTATGTGTTGGATCTTCCTCATGCATGGCCCACGCACGATTGACACCTGATGCGAGGGAATATTGTTCACTCTATGTCTTCCTTCTGCCCATCGAACGGTTGTCTGATTTGCACTGAGTGCATGGGCATCATCCCTTCGCAAGAGTAATAGGAGTAGATTAGCGGTATGCGTAATAGTTGGCTCGAATTCTGTTGGAATAAATCATGTGCACACACGTATACAGATGGCCACCAAAACAGCAACCATCACGTATATGTGTGTCTGCATGACTCGTCCCCGACCCTATCACGCCTGGTACACCCGAATGAATGAGTTAAGTCCTTCTTGCAAAATATAGACATCATTCTGGATCATTGACCGTGCCTGCAACCCTGAGTACCGGGAATAATGGGAAAGTGAACAACTCTTCCGTCGATCGAACTTAAGGCTCCCGGCCTACCCCTGCCAGACGAAGAACGATCGGTTATGTGCCTGGGATTTCCAGAGGGCCACCAGGCAGAATTCCCGAATCCCGGATTACCCCGACACCCGTAACCACCAGTACTACATAACTCCGTACACCGAGTGCAAACCCGCCCTAGGCGATGAGGCCGGCGGAATCAACCGCTCAACTCTGAAGGGCAAAACCGAAGATCTGGTCCTACGCTAGACCACTTGCATCCCTGTCCTTGAAACTTGGCACCAGAGATCTCAGTTCCGGTCTAGGACTCCACCCCCATTTTCCTAAAATCCTTGGCACACCCCTACTACGCACTTCCGGGCCCCCTCCCACTCCGAAAACAAGAAGTCGTGCAGGGCGTGAGGTTAGGGAGTCACAAGACATTGCATTTATGAGATGGAGGAAGTACAAATAGATGGATCAATCTTGCGGGAGGAAATCAGGATGCGAGTGCAAGCTGAAATTACTACTCAAGAAAGTGAAGGAAAAACTAACATCCCTACATATCAAAGCAGAAATCAGGAAGTACATTCAACAATTCAGCAATGACTGGCTGGGGGGGACCCTGGGGAATCCCATTGCAAAAGTTCGATGGGGGGGGGAAGGGGAAAGGGAAGAGAGGGGGGGGAAATTGTGGGGTGTAAAGACAGGAAATATCATCGTTTTTTTTAGGATTGGACAAATATCAACCCGGGCGTGCTGCGGCGCCCTGCTTCAGACTTCCCAGACCCTTTCCCACCACCAGTTTTAACCATGGTGGGGGAGCAGTGGTACAGGGGAGGGGACCCCTAGTTGGATAAATCTGCAAGGCTCAAAGTTTAAGGGTTCTGGTCCTGCGGGTTGAAGGGTACAGCGGTACACAGGGAGGAGGGGCGACGTCTCAGACGTCTCAGCGTCAATGCAGTGAGAAGAGAGGTTGAGGGTTCAAAAGAGGGTCATGCAGTTACAATCATTTACAGTCTAGATAATGAGAGAATGTAATTAAAAAAGAAAAAAGGGCGAAGAGGCACTTCTTCTTCTAGTATTCCTGTTTTCTTTTTAGTGTCAAGGGACGCTTGACCCGGTTTAAAAGGGGCTGGTGAGGGAAGGGAGGAACTAGTTTGTAGCAGCAGGTATCTGACGCCTGGTTCAGGGCGAAGAGGTTGAGTCTCTTGCCTTTCTTTTCTTGATACTCCAAACTCATTCTGCATATGGGACGCCTATGATACGCAACCTCACGCCCCCTCGGGGCTTCCCATACGGGGTCGCCGATCAGAGTTCTAGGAGGGGCGTGGCCGAGGATTTTTGGCCGTAAGGGTTGAGTCTCCCGGACGGAACGGGAGACTCTCGTTTCTTGGCCAAGGTTTTTCTCGGAGTCGAACTGTCGTCGCGAAGTCCCGCGGGGGTCGGACTACTCCGAAACGATAAAATCAGAAGGGTTTCTGTGAGAATGACTTGTCGTCGTGCATCGGGACAGGAATAGGCATCAAGGGGAGGAGGCCATGGCGGCAGACGGCAAAAACTCCGGCCGTCATGGGTTTCGGGGATGGGTGGTGGGTTCGAAGCCTTCAGTCCTCGTCATCGGCCTCACGAAGTGGCCAAACCCTCGGGTCTTTTGTTGTAGAGGTGGGTGGTTCGAGGCCTTCAAGCCTCGGCGTCGGACTCATAGAGCCCGCGCGAAAGTTTCCGGGAGGGTAAAGCGGCGGGAGGACTCGCCGGCATCTGAATTCGAAATTGCGCGGGCAGCGCCCCCGCACTACGGGAAAGCTCAGGGAAACGTGTCGCTCCCTCGTAACCCAAGACCAGCCGTCGCCACGAACACGAGTCCCCATGGCGACACCAGCGACAATCAAACTGCGGTCGCCACGAGGCGTGAGCGACCGACCAGGGCAACACCGTTAAACCCGTATAAGGCAATATTAGAGTCAGGGAATCAAAGCGATCAATCAACACAAACCCGTTCCCCCTTATCTCGGAAGCCCGAGGCGGGTCTTGCCAACACACTTGCTCCATCCGCCTCAGCGCGCGCCGTACGTCCGCATCGCAGTAGACGCTGTCGTCATCTGTGATGGGGAAGGTCGGTAGCGAAATGAGACAAATGGAGGTACGCGATGAACACGGGCAAGATCCCGCGCTCCCGGTCATCCGAACCAACACCGAATCCATACAACAATCGTCGCAACGCTTCTCTCTCAAAAGTGGGTGCGTAGGGGGAGGATGACGAAATCTAAGCTTTCTCCCCTTGGCGGGGGCGTCGACCGTCCGCGCGGACGCAGGCAGTTGACGTCACCGGTACGGGGACGAGAGGCTCTAAAGGCGATGACCGTTAGTTCAAAAGGAAGGCGATCGAAAAGGGAGAGAGAGAGAGAGAGAGAGTTACTCCAAGACGCGCGAGAGCGCAGGAAAGGCCGCGGAGGGGAGGGGAACAACCGGATCAACACACTCATACTCTTAAGCAGACGGTCCCCCAGTTCAGTTTTCCCATCCCCGCCCAGACGAGTACATACACACATACATGCATGCAATCAACAACCCTTGACAGGACATCTAATCATCCATGGACCTTCGACGTCACTCATGCGCATAACCAGCTMCCATCACTCGGGGCTTCACACACACGACATGCATAGACAAAGCAGCAATGGAGATAAAAGCGAGTCCTTCTTGTACACAAAAAYTTCAATTAACTGYTGCCCCCAGGCGCAGCCTTCAAAACTTCCCAAGACCACCGACCAYCATAGCCACAAGGCCCTGCCRYGGCYGGCGTCCAATCCCCAYCACTGCTCAGTCCCTCCGACTGCTTCRCCCCGAGACTACCGCGGGGTCCACCYKACGTYGTCACTCCGCCCGTCCTTGGGCTCGTCGAGCCTGTTCGGCGCCRCRGACTCTCGCGCATAGGTCGCGCARCATTGCAGCCGAGATCAAAGAGGAGGAGAGGAGAGGGTTGCGCAAATTTATAGCGCGGGAGGCGGCGGGTTAACAGCGCGAGGTGCGGGCAGCGCAGGGTGTAGATGAGCAGGACAGGAGAGAGAGAGGTGGGGAGTTAGAGGGTTCGATCCGCGGGATTGCATGGCTACGTGATTGGGGTGTTCGTCCAAGTGGTGCGCGGTTTCCCGCTTTCCACATTGATCCGAGCATCCCAACTACGCAGCCAATCACTTCGCGGAGGAAGACGGGGTAAGGATCAAGCTGGGCGTAGGGGAAGACGAAGAGTCCTGCATGGGGAAAACGCGCGCAGCAAGAAGGGAAGATGGCGCGAGGATGCAAAGCAAGGAACGGGGATGCGAGACGCGCGAAGAAATCGGAGCTTGGGCGCGCGTGCGCAAAAATTCAAAAAGTCCCAACCGCACCCGTTTCTTGGTTTTCATACCGCGGCCGCTATTCGCCCGCGGGAGTTATTAACCAAACAAAATGAAAAAGCCGTTTCAAAAAGAAAACAAAAGCAAAAAGAAAGAAAAAACCCTTTCTATCCGCGCCCATATTTCGGGGCTTCCGCGGGATTTTTCCCCAGGGATACGGCAAGCCGCGCGGTACGGATCTGAGCTTATCACATCTGTGATACGCAGGGGGTTCCAAAAAATTAGCAGTCTCCCGACTGCTGATGTCATCATATCATGGATGATCGGGTAGCCTCTTCATCGTCAGCTGGCCCTATCATCTTCCTAATCTACACGGATGCATCCTGCATCCTCCATCGCCTCCTCCCATAGTATACATTCGATCGGGCGGCCCCTTCATCGTTAGCTGGCCCGGTCGGTAAGTAAAAAGATTCTTTTTATTTTTTATTTTATTTTTTATTTTTTTTTATTTTTTTTATTTATATACAGCGCGTATCGTCGCGCGAGCTTTAGATCGGAAAAGAAGAAGAAAAAGAAGAGAAGGAGAAGGAGAGGACAGGGGAGAGGTAGACGAGGGTTATCAGAGGAAGTGATTTATGTCGGGATTGAGAGGGGGCGGAATAGGTGGAAGAAAAGCGACCATTGCCGCAGGAGTCGTCGGCGCATCTCCCTCATGGAAGTGATGCTGGACGAATGAGTGGTAAAGGAAAGCCCCCGGCACATGTGAGAGGACACGTGGCGCCAGATCCGCTACCGCTCCCACCACCCGCTTGCGCACCGATCGGGGCCTTGGACCCGTCATCACCACATGAGTCTCGATGTAAGGCCGCCGCTCCCGCTTCTACGCCGCGAAGACCAGGAAGTGGTACATCGCGTTTGGACGCTGCCCGGTCTCGTAAATGAGCGTCCCAGCCAATCGCGCCGCAATACACCCTTGGGAAGGGGGTGTCAGATATGGCTCCCACGCCAGATCAGGGCGCGGCGCCCCCGCGATGGCCTCCAGCCTGATGGTGGCGGGCTCCACCATGAAGTCCACCTCGGTCGGATGGACCGTCCGGCTCGGATGAACTACTAATGTCAATGACCGGGGCACCTCAGGGTGGCTGGCGGGAACGGAGAGGTCCCGCGAGGACGGGGGGTCTGGATATGGGATCCGGAAATCCCATTCGGCTTCCTCCTCCGGCTGCTGATGATGATGATGGCCCGGCTCCATCAAGATTGAGATCGGGCACACACGGAATGGGCGGCGATGGCACGATAGTCTCCTTAACGAGCGTCGCCGCACTCCCAGGCACAGGGTCAGGAATCCGCGTACACGCAGGCTGAATCACCTCCTCGCCGCCGGCGATCCTGCTGCCTTGCGCTCCTGGCGACGGGTGGCGTCTCTTCCTCTTCGGCGTCTTCTTGGGGGCCTTCGGTGGCGCTGGTCGAGGATACAACGAGGGAGGATGCAACGACCTTTCCTCTAGGAAGTCCTCCAATCTCTCCGCGCGCTGCGCAACGTAATCCGGGATGACGACCGCGTTGTACGTTCTCCGCGGGGCCGTCGCCGTCCGCAATCGTGGTTGGATCTCCTCCTCCTCGCGCGCGATCACTTGTGCAATGGAGAGGAGCTCAAGATGTATGAGCTCCAACAATCCCGGATCGATTGTCTGGAGCGGGGCGAAGGGGTACAGCGCCACCGTCCCTTCCTTCTCCGCTGGCTTGGGCCGCGCGATGACGTGGTAAACGACGAAGTGCTCCCCGATAGCGTGGTCTTCGTGATCCACGAAGAACCGGAACATCCCCAGCGCCACCGACTTGTACAGCGCACGGTGCAACTCCCACGCGTCTTCGTCGGCGAAGGGCAGCGGCTCCACGTCAGTTAACTCCACCAAATACTCCGAGAACTCGCGCATGGGGTAAGGGCCCTTCGTGAGCTGGTAGGGGAGGGTGGTGTAGGAGAAGAAAGGAGGCATTTAGTACGGGACAGGGGGAATAGCTTGGAGGTTGAGAGGAGCAGCGGGAGGGAAAAGCGCGGGGAGCTGCGGCACCAACGCAATCGGTCCGTCCTCTGCCCTACGTAGCAGCACTTTGTGGGCTGTGAATCGGTGTCCCCCCGTCCTTGCACTCTGGCCACTGATCTGGCCGCTTCCACCGCGTATTCGCGCACAAAGCTGCGCGCCGGCTCCCGATTCTGCTGCGGTAGGACCGTCAAGTCTCCAATGAAGGCGGCGACGCTGTGCATGAAGTTGGGTGCCACCTGGAGCGCACGGAACTCAATGAATACTCGGGTCGTCTCCCGGCCAGGCAACTGCGTCACGTCCACGTACACCCCCGCATACATCAGTCGATCACAAAGCAACGAGTACGCCGCCAAATCCGCAACCCCGGGCGTCGGCACGTTCACCTGTTGAATGTCGTACTGCAACTGCCTCTCCTTACTGAGCTGATGCCGCAACAGGCGATCTGCAAGCGGCGTCTGGAAATGCTCGAGGGGCTCATGCTCTGCTGGCGATGGTTCATCTTGCTCCCTGAAACTCTCAGCACCAATGGACGAGGCAGATCAGGACGAGGGGGAGGATGAGGATGAAGAAGGAGAGGGTGATCTCGCAGGAGCGGGGTCCGCAAGGGACCTAGCGATGGCTGGAAAGGCCGGAGCGCGGCCGCGTGCCGTGTCAGCGGTCGGGCCTGGGAGTTGTGATGGGGAATCAGCTTCACGGAGTGCTGTCCCTGTGCGCCAACTTCCGTGACCTCGTAAATGCCTGTGTAGCGCGGGTGGATCTTGGAGGAGCGCGCAGATTTCCGT